CCCCATGGCCGTCCCCATCCCATGGCTGTCCCCACCCTGTCTTGAGCCTCGTCCCTGTCCCTGTCCCATCCTTATCTCTCTCTTCATCCCATCCCTGTCCCCACCCTCATCCTCTCCCAATCCCCATCCCCGTCCCATCCCTGTCCCCTCCTGTCCCCATCCCATCCCTGTCCCCATCCTGTCCTGAGCCTCATGCCTCATCCCTGTCCCCTCCTTATCTCTGTCCCCATCCCTGCCCTTGTCCCTCTCCCCCTCCTCATGCTGTCCCCATCCTTGTCCCCTCCCTGTCCCCATCCCATGGCTGTCCCCATCCTGTCCTGAGCCTCATTCCTCATCCCTGTCCCTGTCCCCTCCTTATCTCTGTCCCCATCCCTGCCCTTGTCCCTCTCCCCCTCCTCATGCTGTCCCCATCCTTGTCCCCTCCCTGTCCCCATCCCATGGCTGTCCCCATCCTGTGTTGTGTCCCATCCCCGTCCCCTCCTTATCTCTGTCCCCATCCTAACCCTAACCTGGTCCCTCTCCCCCTCCTCACGCTGTCCCCATCCCTGTCCCCCTCCCTGTCCCCTCCTGTCCCCCGCAGATGGAGCAGATCAAGCGCGCCAACCGCCTCTACACCTCGGACACCATCTTCCTCAAGCCCACCCTCCTCATCCCCGCGCCGGCGGGACCCTGCCCCGAGGACGAGGAGGAGGAGGAGGAGGACAAGGACGTACCCGTCCCCCCGGGGGACACCTCGGCCACCCCCGTCCCCTCCCGCCACGACCTCTCGGCCACCGATTTCCTGCGGCAGCTGGACGCCGAGATCGGGCGCTCCAAGGCGGCGGCGGCCGAGCGGCTCCGCGCCGGCAGCACAGGGTGAGCCCGACCCCCCCCTCCCCCTTTTTGGGGCAAAACAGGGGGGTTTTGGCTGCAGGGTGGGCAGCCAGGTGGCAGGGCCACCCCCTCAGTGCCACCCCACTCTGTCCCCTGCAGCACGGCCGAGGCCGAAGGCACCCAGAGCCCCAGTGCCAGGGTCCCCACCGCCCCCCGGGGTCCCCGCCTCGGCCCCCGGCCCCTCACCAGGACCCCGCGGGCGGCCGCCCTCCGCGACGCCGAGGACGAGATCTTCACCCTGTGACACGGGGGACCTGAGTGACACCGGGGACGAGATCTTCACCCTGTGACATGAGGGACACCGGGGACCTGAGTGACAGCGGGGACAAGGTCTTCACGCTGTGACACGGGGGACACCGGGGACCTGAATGACACCGAGGACGAGATCTTCACGCTGTGACATGGGGACACGAGTGACCATGAGGACGAGATCTTCAGGCTGTGACACGGGGGACACGAGTGACACCGGGGATGAGATCTTCACGCTGTGACCCGGGGGACACCGGGGACCTGAGTGACACCGAGGACACCGGGGTATTCACGCTGTGACATGGGGGACACGAGTGACACTGGGGATGAGGTCTTCACGCTGTGACACCGGGGACCTGAGTGACACCAAGGACATCTCCACGCTGTGACACGGGGGACGCTGACCCCACGCTGTGACTCTCCCCCCGCGGTGACAGGGACCCCGGGACACCCCCAGCCCCGTCCAGGGGGTACTGGAGGGGACACAGGGATTTTTTGGGGACACACACACACACACACCACGGTGTCCCCTCCCTGTCTCCTTCGAGGGATCTTTCCTGCTGCAGGGACAGCCCTCTCGCAGGGCTACTGGGAGGTACTGGGAGGCACTGGGAGGTACTGGGACAAGGTTTACCAGCTGATGTTTTTCCTCTGGTTGTATTTATTTGTACGTCTTTGCTCTCGGGGGGGAAAGGGGGGAGATTTGG